AATAAATCTTCGTGCTGTCTGCGAAAACATAGATAAGACGAATTAATGAAGTGTTTCTATTAATTAAGAAATGAATCTTCGTGCTGTCTGCGAAAACATACATTAGACGAATTAATGAAGTGTTTCTATTAATTTAGGAATAAATCTTCGTGCTGTCTGAGAAAAATTGTTAACCTAATTATTTATCGTCGCAAGTGGTCAAAGTAGGTCTACCGGAGAGCTTCCCACTATAAAAAGAAGCAACGCGCCACAAGGCACTACCTCGAGGGTGGTGGGGAAATGTGCTGCTATTTGTATAGTTTATTGAATATATTATAAACATTTTCAACACTGTGTTTGATTTCAATCCTTTGATGTAACCCAGAGCTGTTTTACATGTTTTTAGTTGAGAGTTGTTCGGTATTTGTCGCGGAAACACCTCGAACGATAACGAGATTGTTGTTATCTTGAATGAAGCAGAAGCGGTAGGTATAATGAAATATGTCTGACATTTCAGTGGCGTTTCCGTAAACATTCCGCGATGTTTCTGTAACGTTCTGGTGTTTCGCGACGTTTCCGTGACATTTCCATGACACTTCCATGACACTTCCGTGACACTTCCGTGACACTTCCGTGATACTTCCTTGACACTTCCGTGACACTTCCATGACACTTCGATGACACTCACTTCCGTGACGTTCCTGTGACATTTCCGAGACATTTTTGCAGCGTATCTGTAACGATTACATAACATTCTTCTGACGTTCCCGTTACATTGCCGCAGCGTTTCTGTGACAAGCTAAACTGCAGCAAACATTATCTACGTTACCAGAAGATTCAAGCGAAAGTGTGTAGACTTCGAGATGATCACTCGCATCATGAGTTTTGGGTAGAGAGTAGTTCGACATATTTCCTGGTTTTTAAATACTTCCACTCCATACGTCCCCTGTCAAAAAACATCTGTCATACGTAAGCTATCCCTTTGCCGAGCCCACCTGAATTGTGGTGGTCTAACCTTGTATATTTTTCATTGCTATTCAACTCAACCGTCTTTTATATTGAATGAAATCATGAGCTTGCGTTAGCTGTCTAATTGAAATAACTGTATTCAGTAATTGAAAATAAAAATCAGGTTATTCAACACAAAGTATCACACCTAAACATGGCTAACCTCAGGCGTTCATAACCTCCTAGCACCCTTAATCTATACGCGGGGTAGTCTACCCGCCAGGTGCCTGATTGGTTTTGCTTTCGGCAAGCATCAGGGAGTATAATCAACGGTATACGTAGCGAAATGTCAGCATTATTATTCAATGAAGGTAATACTGAAAAAATAATTGATGATTGCAAACATATCATGAGCAAAACACGATAACACTGTTGACTGACCTCCAGGTCAGCTGATTGTATAGGGTAATTCAATATGACTAATTATGAAATATTGAAATAACTGTATTCAGTAATTGAAAATAAAAATAGACTTATTCAACAAAGTATCACACCTAAACATGGCTAACCTCTAACGGTATACGTAGCGACCGCCTATCAAATGTCATAAGCCATCTGTCAGCTGTCGATTGTTCAGCGAGCTCCAGAAGGTCACGTGGTATACCTCGTATGTCATATATCGAATGTGTTATGTTAGTTGTCATCCGCTGTCGTACTCTAGGTGTTATAGCAGTCTCTGAGCTAGACAAAAAGTGGGGTGGTCTACCCGCGAGTCACCCTATATGTATACACCCTGTATATTGAACGGAATCATCGGCTAGCGAGCAGCCGGCTTGCAGATCGCCTGGTCACGTGTCATCGATCTTTGTTATTTGTCAACAGTCCTCTGTCATACGTTTAATCGATGTTTAACACAAAAGTAGGGTGGTCTCTAACCATGGGCCACCCTGTATATTTTATTAAATTACTTTTCAACTGAAACATCCTGTATATAACCATTCATTTTTTTGTTACTGAACTGACAGCTTGCAGGTCGCCTGATGGTCACGTGTCATCTCTGTAATCTGTCAACGGCCATCTGTCAAACGTCATCTGCATACGTCATACGTTACTATGATTGCTAAGCCCCACATAAAGTGTGAGACATCTTGAATATATTTTCCAATTTTTATTCTACTTGAACACCTACTTCATTCATCTTGTTATTGAACTGATGACTTGGGAGGTAGCCGGCTTGCAGGTCGCCTGATCACGCGTCATCGATCTTCGATATCTGTCATCGGCCATTTGTCAAACGTCATCTGAATATACTTATGTTTGTGTGGGACAGTGTAATTATTTTCAATTTATATTCAACTCAAACACCCTGTATATCGACCCAGCTATTGGCATCGATGTGTTATTGCGGTTCTTATCAACAGCTTGCTGATAGCTCACTCGTCGATGCCGGATGACCTTGAAAGCGTAAAAAATGACCAGAATGGACCTTAAAATCCGCTGAAAAAGTCCGTAGATCTAGGGAAAAATCTGCTTTGCTTTACATTGGCTCTCATGGGGCTTTCCGCTGCACATCGCGGAATTTCCGTAGAATCTGGGGAAAAAGGACTTAGAATTTTTAAAATTGCGGGGGTTCTCTTGTAGCTCCTTTACTTACGACCCTGAGAGCTGAATCTTTGGTCTTAGAGGATTGGTCACATTAAAATTGCGGGGGTTCTCTTGTAGCTCCTTTACTTACGACCCTGAGAGCTGAATCTTTGGTCTTAGAGGATTGGTCACATGAAAACATTTGATCAGAAACTCCATACCAATAACATAATGTGAATTTCAGGCAAATCCCACTGTGGGCCAATTCCCTATGGTTTTGTGCGGGGTCCTTTGTTCGCAATACTGTCTGCGTTTATGAACGCTTATTTCACGCTATCGATACATGCTTCACCCTTATCATCTTCGCGATGAAGTGACACCATGAACGATGGTTCAGCAGGTGGTAGTCGAACGATGAAGTGCTTTTACGATTACTTCATTCATTTTCAGTGGATAACATTCGATTTCTGCTATCGCTATTCACAAAACAGATGAATAGAGAAAGATTCAATCGATAGTCCACGACAACTCATTCAGAAAATGTCTGAAGAGGACAAATATATTCAATTCAACTTATCATCGAATCTGATCCCGTTTTCAACATGAAAATAGAAAATTTTCCTTGAGAATACTCTTCTTGTTTCGTATTTCGACAGTTCTTTGTGGCAAAATATGTCAGAATAATGTGTGAGATATATTAATATTTGATGAAATTACCACTATCACACTCAGACTTCATGGTTGTTATCTCATCTTCACATGATTTGTACACTTTCATTAGGTTGTATATACACTCAGTTTCTGAAAAAGTGACGCACTTGATATTTGACCTATCTTCTTGAAAAAAAAAAAATTGTAGGCCGTGTTAAATCGTGTTTGGATTCAACACGTTTTTGACTTTTGGCCCCATCAATTAAATCTAAATAGATTTTTGATATTTGAGTCCGCTCTCTCAAGGGTACGGGACCCTTTTCCTGTAGTACACCAAAATGGTTATTTAGAGCACCCTGTGTGCTCGTCGAGTTTCCCTCCTGGGTCTTTTGTTTTATATCACAAGTGAGCGTTCTCAGGGCACGGGGCCCTTCATTTCAAATGAAAACCCGTTCATTCCTCCCAATTATTTATTATCATTATTATCAATGATATTATGATGAAAGACATCGGCAACTTTGTTAAAACAATTAATGTTCACCTCCATTAATTTCTAAAATACGACTGAAGATAGACCTATATAAGTTCGAAACATGTCCCGTTGAATAACTACATCAATATTAGAGTTGTGAGGATGACTTTGAGCTTCCTTCCTTCTTTAAATAGGAATCAGCTGAATATGATCTAACCTAGAATGAACAACATATGAAAAATTTCAAAGATAATAATTATTTCATAATGAAAGAAGATAACAAGCAACATGAAAAAATCGATCGAACTTCATGCATTGTTCTGAACGGAGATAATGATCGCCTCCTGGTGGTCCAACCAATCGATTTTAATTTGTATAAGAATGAATAAAAATAGACTTGACGTATGTGACGTATGTTGATGTATAATGAGAGATCGAATTCGTGTACGAAAAATGATGAATAGGTTATTCACTCCTATTATCCGAGTTTGAAAATAGAGAATTCAAGATCCAGTTGAAAAACACTTAATATTACACATTTTTCCAAAATCATCATTCATAAAACTGAATATCGATACAAGAGCCCAGACATCAAGAATCATTTTCATTTTTCATGTTGAAAATAAAAGCAAATCATCCTCTGAAACGTCCAAATAAATGAGTGGAATTCCATTATCCTAAGAATCTCTAATACTCCTATCATGTATAACTTCAATATTCGAATGCATACATTCTACAATCGAGATATTCCTGACTATCATTCGATAGTCCACCTTGATTTTTGTTCCTGAAGAGAGCAGATGGCTTGATCATTGAACAGAGTGAAACGAGAATTACTTCCCTCTCACCCCAGACTCCTGGATACGAATAAATGCGTAATTCAAGCTCGACTACGTCTAGGTCTGCTTTCTGTAATATTTTTGTTTGTAAGTGAGGTTTTCCTTGCATGGTTTGGGCTGAAATAACGAGGTGATGAGAAGTACCTACTCTTGCTCTTGGATGTTCTTTAAGTACTGATTACGTGTTCGGAACCCATTATCGAAGTTTGTGTTACTGTCAAGAAGAGGAAGATTCGAACAGAGTCAATGGGAAAAATCCTGACCGGAGAATAAAATATCTCCATCAAATTCTTCCATTCTTGATAGAGAACGCGCTAATAAATGCCAAATGGACAATGCTCTCAATTCCGATTATTTCTATTTATTTCGAAATTGATCTATGATACCCATGACCATCATCATATCATCGATTTCTCAGATAGGAAACTTTGTCTGATCCAATAAATAACTTACCTATCATCAGCTGTTCTTGGGATGCCGATAATGGTACGCCAACTGGAAACTATAATAATATTTTTTGGTTTCAGGGAGAATATGTTCGTACAAGAGGCTATTTCGGAGTCAATGTTTGGCCTGTGGATGGAGACGACGTTCATGGTAAATGTGGAACAAAACAGGTGTTGCTCAAACATCTCCATGAAGGAATAGGAAATAGAGTGAATTGGAATATTAAATGATCCTGAAAATGCAGACAATTGAAGTTCATTCTATTATAATGCTTTCTGCTGATGTGTGCCATGAATGTTATCATAACAGAAATGAAAGATTTCAAATTTTTCATTACATTCTGAGTTCGTCAGGCGATGATTATAGTTGTGAAAAATAATTCAATCATGAAATACATGCTGGAATACCATAGCATATTGAATCCTTTTATCGAGATCATTCAACTCAATAATTGAATATGTCGAAGAGCAAGACAGGAAAAGAAATTGATGACAATTTCAAAATAGTTTAGCACAATTCAGTGGATAGAGAAATTTCGAACTTCAACCTTCCGAGTGTGTGACAATCGGCAGTTCAATCTTTCAATTGAAAAGCTTCAGATTCTGCAACATATTTCGAGGGCCTGATGCTGGGGTCTATTCAAGGACAATCGGGAGTTGATGAGCCTCCTCGACTCACTCAATCGTGAATATTTTGTACATATCTGAACCTTCTATTGAAATTTTGGATCAATGATTGATTGGTTAATACTTGAAAGCAGTTCTAGTGCTCCATTGAGATATGATAATACGAGTTTCGTGGAAACTTTCTTCTATATCTGAACAGATGAAAGATACGCAGTTGTTGTTGAAATACTTCAACAATTTTACTGAAAGAAATACCAGAGGGTGAAAAATACAGAAAATGTAAAAAACCTTTGTTTAGCGTATACGAGAGTTACATAAAATTTTATGATGATGAAATAATATAACGTGACTGAAATTATACCAGAATTCTGAAACAAATATCAAATTCAATCAAAATAAGTGAATGTAACAAATACTATGAAATTACACTTTCATTCTATCTGTGGTGGTCTTCACTTGGCGCTTCTTGAACCGTTTCGGACTACCCAGGCGTCAGATTTTTCAATAGGTGATTAACTGCAACAACTTTCATGAACTGTGTTCATCAGGATACCTAGGTTGAAACGGCAGAGAGATGAACAGTACACTTGGTTTCAATTTTATTGATCAGACCTGAATTCCAGGAGCCAAGAAAATGTGGGATTTAATCACACACGAAACATTGATTCAACCTGAAAAACTAGTTCCTATAGAGTCTGCCGTGGATTGAAAACTGTTATTCGAAACCATTCTCAAGGACAAACACAAAATGAATCTCTGTAGGTTACCTATCAGTGATTTTTATCTATACTCTTTTTATTTCTAGAAACAGAAGGCCCTCTAATTCATACAAAAATTGTAGCGATTTCTTACACTCCATCTAGGCCTGTACTCTAGAGGATGTTTCACAAGTAATGAGAACAGTTTTTTCATCCTCAGTTGGATGAGCTTAGCTTTCACCATATCCATGTTATTAGTTTGTACTATTGTGGGACGTTATAAAACCATAGCTGATGGTGGGCCTATTCTAAAACCAAAATATTTCCCCCCAATTGAAACATAACTATGTTCAACTATCAGATGTATCGAAGACTGGAACCTTTGGCACGATAATACACTACACTGTTTTACCACTAACCAAACCAATTTTTTAACGCCTCGACACGTGTTTCGCTAACTATGTTAGCATCTTCAGGAGAAGATTAAAACTGAGTTCAAATCTTCTCCTGTTCACTTCAGTCGCTTGCTGAAGCAGTCAGAAAAAATCTAAATAATAGTTCATTCTCCCCAATTTCCATAACTGACGGTTCGTTAGCAACAACATACCAACCAGAAGCAAACATTTTTGCAGAGATTTTTTCAGCAAACTCAACCGTATACCGTATATTCGTAAGGGCCGCCAGATATTCCATTCGTTGAAAGTCGAAAGCCATGAATTGTCTCTCGTCAACGCACTATCAGACGCATTCTGCTTGGTCTCAAAACTGTGAAGGCTGACGGTACAATGATGAAAGTATGATCAGGATTTCTATAAATTTGGAAAAACCCTCCTGCTCATTTTTCTCCAATTCAGAACCTACCGTTTTTCGAAGTAGTGGTTCTATTAGCTTCAGAAATCATTCAACTCCGGAAATCATATCTTCAGACCTATTTTTCTCAAAAAGACCTGACGAATCACCATCCGAAGTGTATCGATCTTCATTCAAGAAACACTTTGTGAAATGAGTTCATATATCATTATGTGAATGGGCAAACCTCATCATCATTCGGAAGCAAGATTCATTTGATATACATATTCAGAATATTCCATAGGTAATTTGCAACGGATTCACGTAATTACTCTCCATCATACTAATGTGATTACAGCTCATAAATTGGCTTCATCAATTATACTGACGTGCAGTTTGTCATGAGTCTGTCATACGTGATATCAAATCACTGATAGACCCATCGGGATTACAGGAGCTCGATTACAGCAGCTCGATCTGGATCGCTGCGATTTTGGAGTGATCAATCTTTCAAAATAGACTGGGCAGTGAACGAACAGGGAATTGTTCTTAATCATGCATGGAGAACCTGACTTTTTGCTATAGAATTTGTGGATCCAAATTCGCATTCGAAATCTAAAGATAATAGGTACACACAAAAAAGTTCTTCTTGGAATGAGAGTCCTAGGGTGGAAGTGAGAAAGATGCAGGATTTATGAAGATATATCAAGAATAACATACTTCAACAACATATCTTATGCAGAAGCCATATCGTGACTGAGTAGTCACATAGATTATGGACGACGAGACTCATGAAAAATAACATAGATTTATTTTTATCAGAATCTTTCGCGTGATTGACACATGGTATTTTGTACCAGTTTGATGTAGTGAATCTTCAAACTTGCATTGATGTAAACAAAACATTATGCACACTCGTTTTGTCAATATTGTCACGTATCGAGAGACAAAAAAAAATTACATTCAGTGGATTACAGAAGGAAAAGAGTCATGAGTGGTAAATAAAATAAAAAATTGATTCACCTAGATCTACGATATATATGAGCCAATTGCTTGATGACCAATGGACCAGCTTGACACTCTATTACATTCGATAGAAGTGCAGTTTGATCCAAGAGAGATATTCCGAGCAGCATTAGATGAGTACCACCATATGTAGGAGCATCATATAAGGAGATAGGCCGTATCTGTACTTTCTTGATCGTCGCTGTTGAGGTGTGGAGTAGATTTTTGAACAGCAGCTCTCGCGATCAATCTGACATAGTTTTTCCAGAGTATTGGTGATGAACAAACCAAGTATAGGTAAGTGGACTTGGTGAGAATGATTGAACCAGACATTGATTTATCAGGCATATAGGCCAGTCAAAATCGACACAGAAAATCGCTGAATTCGCAAAACATGATGTATCTCTGACTTTTCAGTATATTGTTTGAACCCATCAGGGTGGTCTTCTTCCTATTTTGCAACTCTCAAAAAGTTGTGGAAAAAGTGTAGCACACGAGAAACTACGAAATTTTCGGACTTTCTTCAGTTTTTGCTCTATATCTCCTAAACTATGCATTTTTCGACAAAAAATGTTATACAGGGTGTCTGTAAAAGGTCTCTACAAAAACATACCACATATTCCCTGGACCAAAATGAGTCGATTCAAGTAAAATAACCTCAGTACAAAGTTGCATCGTTTGGGCTCCAGAGGGCCTTGAAGTTACAATGTTCAAATCATTTTTCCTATATAACTTCAAAACGGCATATGCGATTTTGCTGATATTTGGTATAGTGATAGAGTTTTATGTGCCAAAAAAAATGGTGTTCGATAATAATACATATGCGTAGAACGTGATTTTTTAAATAATTCCACCTTTAAAAATTCCACGCCAATGAAAGAAAAGGACTTTGAGATTGAAATTTAGATTGCGCTACTCATTTACTTCAGAAAAGATACTCCTGACAAGACCCGATTGCTCTCATAGATTTGACGAAATTTGCATTTCAGTAATTTTAGAACATAAACAGTAATTATTGAAACACAAACTTTGTCAAAACCATGATAATAAATCGAGTGTTATCGAGGGTAATTTTTAGTAGTAAATAGTAAATGAGAGCCCAATCCAAATTTCATACTCAAACCCCTTTTCGGCCATTGGCGTAGAATTTTTAAAGCAATTATTTAAAAAATCAAGTTTTACGCCTATGGCAGAAAAGGGGTTTTAGTATGAAATTTGGATTGGGTACTCATTAACTACAGAAAAGTACCCTTGATAACACTCGATTTACTCTCATAGTTTTGACGAAGTTTGTATTTTAATAATTATTGTTTATGTGCTGAAATTACTATTTTTTTGCCACATGAAACTTCATCAATATTTCAAATTTCAGCAAAATTACATATGCCTTTTTGAATCAATATGGAATAAACGATTTAAAAATTGTAACTTCAAGGCCCTTTGGAGCCCATACGTTGCACTGAAGTGATTTTATTCAAATCGACTCATTTTGGTCTAGGAAATATGTGGTATGTTTTTGTAAAGACCTCTTACAGACACTCTGTATATGTTTTTGGAGAGCATCGATTTAAAAAAAAAAACAAAAAAAAACAAATCAGTTCTGGACCTACTTTAAACCAAAATTGCGGCTGAACTATTGATGCTACAGGTAAAACTCATGTGATAAAAGTTGTACAAAATTTTATTTACTTCGATTTGAGCGTACAGTGGGGTCTGTAGGCCTTGAAGTTCTCTTAAAATATCGAAAAAACCTATTCAAGATATTATCGCATTTTTCCAGATATCTACCAAATCACTGTTTTATTGCATAATAGTGAATTTTGAACATTCACCAATTTTGGTCAGGTTTCCATCGACAGATAAACACGTATCCATCAGCAGTAGCACTGTGAATGTCCCTCACAAAAACTGTCATACTGCCCGAGAAGGAGGGCTGAAAGGGGTGATCTGAATAACAGGAAAAACTTTTAGGAACGTTTTTTCCTCATGGAAAGAAAAAGTCCACTCTTTGGCAACACCTATGACCTCCATTAAGGTCCACTAGAAGAGAATCGATGTTGAGCCACTCACCATCTTCCAGCGCATGTGCATGATGAAGCGGTCAGATCTCCATTTGAAATCTCACTTCACTCACAAGCTCGCTCCATATTCAATGGCTCTATTCTGCGACGAAGAGCTGCGTAAAAGGCACGGAAACAGCGTTTTACGCTGCCTTTACTCTCAAATGACAGAAACAAAGTTCGTTCCTCTGACCATATCTGTTGTGCTTCTGCCCTCGAGGGGATTGAGACACAAATAGCAAGAGAAGACGCAGACCGCGATATCGTTGTAACTGCTCTGCAAAAAGTAAATCCAATGACCACGTCATCATCGTTGAAGAGGATATTGATCTAATCGGGCTCCTCTGCGGTCCAGGATCCACTAATTCGAAAGTCTACTTCCAGAAAAGTAGCAGAGATGAGGCGGGTTGCATCAAGTTTTACAGCAGCTCGTTCAACCGAGTGTAATTGGAAGTACCACCTGTGTTTGAGCTGTTCGTCCATGCATTCACTGGGTGGGACACCACCTCTACCCTCTTCTGGCAGGAAAAGATGAAAATGTAGGGCCATTTCGAACAGAATCAAGCCTTTGTAGACCAAGCAAAAGTTTTTCTCCAGCCATATGCCACACACCGAGAAGTCGCAACAGTTGACGACAAGTGCCTAGTTGCCCTATATGGAGGAGACGAGAAGACAGACAACGATGTACGCTTCCGTACTTTCCTGAAGACAGCGGCCAACGCCAAAGCAAATCTGGCGTGTTTGCCACCAACCACA